ATAATCATATAACTCAGTTCTATTTATTGCTTATAACAGTTTGATCAACTGATACTATAAATTGTACACACTTATCATGTTATCGATGAAACAATATCAAATGGTATCCAATTAAAATGATTCAAATTTGACTATTGGTCAATATAAATAATTCTTATAAAACGCAATTTATTCACACATAGTTTATGATTTAATTCTAGTGCTTAACACGTGTTCTATTTAGAAAGGACAGTCGTATATTTGCTCGCTGAGTTAAATTTATAGTTTTAATCGTTTATTAAGAATCAAGACTACTGTTTTCACTCTAACTGAATTTATTTCACTTAGAGTAGCGCCAAGAGTATCTTTTTTCGGAATTTACTTATCCTCTGTTCTCTTTAAGTATATTGGGTTTTTTCTTTGTTACACTTTTGGATCTAACAGCTTACATTTTTACAGTTTCACATCTGGTGATAAATTTTTTGTCTCTGGGTACTGTTTGCGTCTGGCTTTTTTTGGAAACCTCTGATTACTGACTATACACTGAAAAAAAGCTATTTCCATCACCTGGGCTGTCGATACCCTATGGAGAGTGGTATGCAGTAAGATTAGTACAAAGGATGGTACCACGAAGTTTGCACGAATCTAACTCCTGTGGCTTTCGAATGGTTTGTTAAAAATGGTTCCGTACGTTTGTGTCAGCAATGTTGCTCGGACTCAAACAGCTTGCTACCCGAAACCATTGCAATGGTGAACGCTGTTAAACGGGATACTAGCACACTTGGTCGAGATACATCAAATGGTACTCGCTCTGTCGATACACAAGTCGATATGAAGTTATCTGAAATAAGCTCAGAGTTGATTGACTTGCATGAGCCAAATGGGGAAGAACCAACTGCAAAGATGGCTGTTAGAAACAGAAGCTCGAGAATGGAGGTTTCTTTTGTTCCCTACTCTCAAAATGGACTCAGGTAGGAAACGCCTAGAAAACTGGATCGCAAGGCTACGCCTGTTTCTAGCAGGAAAAATAAAAAAATTGATGGCTCAAGTCATCGACAATCATCCAGGATCTTACGGTGTGTGTGACGCAACTGTGATTGCTACTCCAATGAAAGCTGATTAATGGGTACAAATCAAGAATTAGAAACAAACTAATATTACCAAAGAAAATCCAGTCTCCCGAAAGGTAATTAAGAAATCGAAGGCTGATCATAGAAACAGGTTAATTGTTTTTCATGAGGTCAAGGAGAATGAAAGTTCAGAAACCATAACTCACTTTGCGCAAGATATCCGGTTGATAAAAGACCTATTTAATCAGCTAATGCCTTAAGATAACTCTGGGTTCACCTTGCTGAAGTTTTATAGACTAGGCGGCCAAACGAACTTGAAGAAGAATCAGACCAGGTTGCTGAAAGTGGTATTTGAATCTCTCAGTGAAAAGGACTTAATAATACGAAATGGACAAATACTAAAGGGGTCAGAAATTTTTGTCCGTAAACACTTGCCGCTCGCGGACCGAAAAAAGGACGAGAAACCGAAAAAGAACTAAAACTAAGGTTATGTGCTGGTGAAAAGAACTTTAGAACTGTAAACTTTCAGATGGTTAGGCTCCAACAAAGGATGATGCCGAAACCACTCTGGGTGCAGCATGAAATAATCAAAATGGCTTTCGGATATGTTACACGAATGCCCGAAGCTTGCTCAACAAGCGATCGGAGTTAGGTGTACAGATAAACTCTACCAAGCTGGATGTAATTGCTGTCACAGAAAATTGGCTGACGCAGTCTGTAGACAGTAGGGAACTTGATTCCGAATGTTTCATATTAGTAAAAGCCAACACAGCTTAGAAGAGTAAAGGAGGAGGAGGAACTCTATTCATTAGAAATACTACTCCATTTACGGTTATCAGTAACAAATTCCATGAAAGTGGGAAGTGCTAATTAATTAGTTACCTCATGAAATGCAAAGGAAAAGAGCCGCTAATTGGCTTGGTCTACTACAGTCAAAGCCGTGAGGTGAGCGCGGTTTTTCTAGTCGGTTGTAATACTTGGTCATCAAGTGGTCGATGTTTAATCTTATGAAACCTCAATGAACCTACAGTAGATCTGAAGACTGAACTGTCAGAAAATCCTTTCGAACAGAAACTAGTTAACGCGGTTGCCACATGTGTCCAAGTGCAACATGTGGAAAAAGGAACTAGGTACTACCCGGACTCCTAATTATTCTTACTAGATCTCATATTGACCCATTGTGAGGATGACGTCACAAACCTCCATGATATGACATCCTTAGGTAAGAGTAACCATCCAGTTCTAGATTTTGTTGTCACCAACTATGTGTCAGTCCAAGCCAGACCAAACGCCAGCAAAGCAAATACACAAAAATTATATACCCAGCATCCTCAATAGATTTGACAATAGAATCAGAATCTTCTATTGAAACGGTTTGTGAGGTATTAAGAAATGTGTACATAAGAGTTACTGAACTGCATATCCCCACCGTGATTCAGGAGTTTCTCACTCTTCTCCGTCAGAGAACAAGAATGTGGGGGATATTTAGGTTACTGGGTACTGACGCTACAAAATCTCAGTATCAGGAAACTCCAAGTAGTTGTGCATCGACCCTCCACAGGTCTAGAAGATTGTATGAAGAGAAACTTCTTAAGGAGTCCATAGAAACCTTAAACGCTTATACTCGTACATAAACCAAAGGACTAAGAGAATAGGCAACATCCCAGCATTAGAGTAAAGCTCATGTATTCTCAAATTAACGATGCATATATTTTAATGGTAGCCTGTCCTTCAGTTCATACACCCTCCACACACACATACACTCTGGACACGGTGACCATTAAAGAACCCGATGTCAGTGATTTAGACAAATCCCGATTAAATGCATCCTGGGTTGCCGAAGGAATTTTCAAATGTTGTCGCAAATCCCTTAAACATTTGTAATCCAAGGTAGATTACCAAAAGACTGGAAGAACGGCACAGTAAATCCTATCTTCAAAACAGGTATGAGACACAAACTTGATAATTATCGGTCCGTAAACTTAACCAGCGTGGTTTTTAAAATTTTAGAAAATATTGTTTGGAAGTTGTTTAAGTATCTAGACGAAAACCGAACTCTCTGAAAAGCATCATGATTTCAGAATAGGTTGTTTATGTCTCACTAACTTATTAGTAGCCCGCGAAAGTTGGTGTGCTCTTGAAGACCGAAAGTTACCTATAGATGTAGCCTACATTGACTTCAATGAAACTTTTGACAAGTTCCTCACAACCGGCTGTTATATAAGTTTGGGACCAGTGTTGTTCCTCCTGTATGTAAATGACATTTTCAGTCTCTTATCATTATGGGTTTTGTTATATGCTGACGATGTTAAGATATTGTGACCGATAAAAGTAAAGGTAATAGTTTAGAGATTCAAAATGACCTGGAGAAATCATCTGAATGGTCTAGAATTTGGCAGTTGCCGATATGTGCTTCTAAGTGTATTATGGTGCATATCGAACATCAAGATACAAATACAAACACGGTGAATAACATTGGGCTACCTTTCGTCTGGCATACAATGACCCAGGAGACATAGTTAGCTAAAACTTGAAAACTACCACACACACGTGCAATAGCTGTCAATGATTTTAGAACCGTATGGTCAATACATATAGCCTTTAACGATGTCGATATTAAAAACTTTTCGACCTTGTATACGGTATTCATTAGTCCTAAACCCACGTATTTCATACAAACGACTATCCCCTGTGTAAAAAGAGACAGTAAGGTGTAGAAAAAAGATTCAAAGAACCACAACTAGGCTGATTCCTGGAATTGTAAGGCCCCCGTATAATGCCCAACTGGCTAAACTAAATCTATTTCATTCCCGTGTAGAAGAACCTGGGATGACTTGATCACCGTTTTTAAATTACTTGGTGATAAATTTGCATTTGATATCCCCTTATTTTTCTTGTCTTCCAAAACAGAATTTTAAGGGACACCCTAAAATGTCCACAATTCCAAAATAAATTTCCTGTTGGATGACTACCGAATTTTCCATCGAATCATCAACGGAAGGAATTCATTACCTCAACACATGATTGAAGCTCCATCTGTTGACGCGTTCAAAATAAAGTTGGATCAATTGAGAAAACGCCTTTGTCAGGACTAACACAAACCACTTGGCCTCCTGTCCTTTCCAAACTGAAACTGTAATCAAAACTTCATAAATCTTTTTCTACAGTTTTTACCTTCTTCCTTATGTCGAGGTATATGGATCTTTGTTCAGATACAACGATTATAGATACATATTGTTTTGACAAGTGATAACTAACAAGGATGTTGTGATGTTATGTTTTTGACGGTAGTATAGATTTTTTGTTCTACATTACTGTCAACCATATAATATAATTTTATGACTAGCCTTTAACTTACCAGTAGGAATATTTCCATGATGATTTTGTGAATGATTAAGCTGGTGTAGTTGTAGATGTTGAGGAGGATCATGATGACGATGATATTCATCTGTAGGTTGAGGTGAAACAGATAGATCAGAAAGATGATAAAAATGATCATATGGTTTATGTGATGATAACCAATAGTTTGACATATAATCATTATACAATACAGTTTGTTCCGATTTCACAACTGTACTATTCAGTGTTTTATTATTATTATTATTATTGTTATTTGAACCATACAAAGTAGAGCAATACAACTCGTCCATTCTGTGATTATTATTATTGTGTAATGAATCATTAGTTTCTTTCGTGGTTTTTTTAAGTATTGATTTTAACTCAATCGTGTTAGTGACCGTTGTTGTGGTTGGCGTTGTTGCTGGTGTTTCTGTCGATACTAATGTTAGTGTAGGTGATATTGATGGGATTGTCGATGAGATGATTGATGTTTTTTTGTTCTTTGTTACTTCTAATGACAACAGTTCATTTGTCGATGATAAACTTGGATGTTGCTCATGATAATGATGGTGAACTTGGTTACCATTTGAATATTTTATTTTTTCAACCCTTCTAATTTGGCATTCGACGTGAATAATGATTAGATCGTTTACTTTTTTTCAATTGACGAACAAACTTTCCATTTGTATTTTCATTAGTTAATTGATCATTATTATTTATATGATAAATGAATGGTTTATATTGGTCACTGAATTCAGATGAAACACTATTCAAATTTGATATATTTGTTTTCAAATGAACATATGAGGAGGGGAGAGAAAAAATTCTGTAAATAGAAGAAATGGATTGTTCTCTTAAAAAGTGACTCAATAAAAGATATTAGATTAACTTTAAATGAAACTACTGTTTATCTTTTATTTTCAGTGATTCAGGAGCCAGTTGTAACAGTTGTAACATTTGATCGAAAAAAGACTATTAATAGCCGAATAGAAAAAGAATGTTCGTCTACTAACTGAATACTGGTTTTGAGACGAATTTCTTCAGATTTCTGAAACAAAGTTGCGTTACTTCAATACAGCTAATTACTTAGAAGTCTAGAAGTCATTTGTCGATAGGAAAGGATAAAATATTACATAAGAACCTAATTATTGTATCAAAGGTACCATGTTAATCAGAAAATCCATAAGTTCTTGGTTTTGATCTTCTGTGAAGTCACGACTATGTACACTTGATAAATCTCATACAAATGAAAAACAGTTACATAATGATACGTAATCAGTCAACAAATCACCTGAACGTGAGTTCGAATCTCACGAGGCGGGATCGTAGATGCGTACTGTCGAGGAGTCCCACAATAGGACAAAACGGACATCCAGTGCTTCCAGGTTTTCCATGATGGTCTAGCTTGAATTGAATCATGATCTCAACCATTAAAATTTTTTGAAATTATCAAGTCAAAGCTCCATAATGTTACCTACACTAACAAATGAGTTTTTTATTGTTACTAATATATAACACAAAGTAATTGATTACATTTTTCATCAATAAAGTATTGATTACCTCGTATTATCCTATGAGAATAAATTGATGGAAAAATATTTATCAGGGAAAAGGTTGTATGTAAAAACCAGTCAAATATTTTTTCTATCGAAATGGAAGGTAGATATGTTTATTCTCTAAATGTTTAACAGTGAATATTCGTAAAACGAATTAATTTTGTACAAAAAAAACTAATTCTTTTGTTTAGTTGATTATTTAGAAATCACTCCAAAGACGTCTTCTTTTAAAGTAACTCACGGAGTCAAAGGAATTAAATCGAAGGGATGTTGGATCAATATTTTATACACTGCTGAGATATTGGCAATCCATGAATAATTAATATCGTTGTCAGCTTCAAATTATAAAAACTAAATTCAAATTAACTTGACATCTGATATTATAATCATTTTTCCCAGATTCATTGGTTGAACAGACTAACTAAACACTCTATTTATTGGTGTGAATCAGTAAAATTTAGTAAATTTAAGCAAATTTCTGTTACTGTAAATCTATTGCATTTCTTTTTTTTTCCATAATCATAAAGGATTATTGGTATCAGAAGTGGTTTTGTGGATATTATAATAATTTTATTAGTTGAGATCATGAGTCAACTGAGGCTAGACCAACATAGAAGACCTGGAAGCACTGGATGGCTGTTTCGTCCCATTGCGGAACCCCCCGACAGTGCGCATTCACGATCCCGCTTCGCGAGATTCGAACCCAGGCCCCGGGAATCTCGCGAAGCTGGATCATGAATGCGCACCGCTGAGAAGTACCACAACAGTATTATTAGTTAGTTATTGATTTTTTTCATTAATTTTCATAAATTGCCTAATTAAAGTTTATTCTAAATGGTATATTATATCATATGGTTTGAAAGTTAATTTATTTGATACCTTCAAATTCATATATTTACTTTTGTTAAAATTTTTTCATTGATGAAACATTTTAAACCATAACATCATTAATATTTTAGACATGTATTATAAGTACTCACTTATCAAAACTATAATATTCATCCAATTGACTTTTCTCTTGTAATGTTTGTTTTCTAGTCATTAGTTTCTGTTCATTTGGATATGAAATAATCGAATCAGCTATTTGTTGTTTAGATGACATTGAATAATCAGATAGTGAACATGTTGATGATGTCAACGGTAATGTAAACGTTGGTCTAGAACAAATTGGTGATATACTTAAATCACTGTTTTCTAATATCATTTTATTTAACATTTCAGTTCTATTTAAATAATTATAATAATTATAATGATTATCACTATTATTATTATTATTATTATTATTATCCATATATGAGAAATAAGGTGTATAATTTTCATAATTTGAATTATTCTCATGTGTACTTTTCATTAAATTCATTTGTGATTTAACAAATTCATAATCTGTTCCATTTGGCATAGTATTTAATATTGACCAATCATGTTGAACATTTTGATTGTTACAATATCGATTAGTTTTATCATTAAATTGGTTATGATGTTGATGATGATAAATTTTTCAGTGGATTCTAATAAATGATTTGATATTTCTGGTATTTCAGTACATTGAAATTCACACAATGAAGAAGATGTTTCAGAATAATCTATTTTATAAGAATATATAGAAGAAAAAAAACAAGAAATGTACACCTAAATAAAATAATAAAAGAATGATATATTTATGATATCCTAATGAGTAGAAGTTTCAGTTTCTGACGTTTGTCAACTTAGTGTAAGTCAGTTTTTCATTGAGTAAATAAACTACGGGATTGAATTGGCACAAGTTTAAACAGTATAAAAGGACAAGCAGAAAAGTTAATTTAATCAAAATCGGATTTTTACACTGAATGAAAGTGTAGCGCTCAAGTTGATGTACCGATTTGATTGTGCCGATTTTCATTAGACGTTTAAATTTAGATCGCTGTTAGAATTCCTCTAAGTAAACAGTATAAGAATAGAAGATCATGATGTTCATCTTCCTTTTCAAAAATGAATTTTATATAATCTGCGAAGGTATTTATCACTAGAGAAATTTCTATAATTTTTTTTTCATATTACAGATTTCATATTTTACACACCTATCAGGATATGTGTAAATACACATAGTGATGTCTCACAGATAATCACCTTAATCAAAATGACATTAACCAGTTTTTATTATCGGTTCAAATTCTTCATGTTTAACTTTTTCTACTACCATTGATACCATTACTGACTCTACTATTCTAAGGTTCATCTTGATAATCTCATTTCCCCTTATTTACATAGTATAGCAATTTAAACCGATACATATAATGTTCTGTGGATCACTTTTTAAAAAGATTAAACTCAATATGATAATATTGAATAATGCTACAAAAAAAAAACGACTTGGAGATTTCCATGAGTTCTTAATATGTATGAATGAAGAGTTGTTTCAAATTAACTCAAGTTAAGATTTTGACTAAATTACATGAAGGCAATTTTCCTATAAAATTCTGATTATGTCTGAAAAAATTAGTATTTTCAGAAATAGAAGTGAAATCAATCTTCGTTAATTCTATTTCTTGAACATACATACATAGGGAGGGGCAATCGTGATCTCAAAATTAGGATGTGTGAACATGTACCAAAATGGTTGCAGAAACAAATAGAATCAAATGACCCAATAAGAGTAGAGAATAAACACACATCATCCTCTATTGCTAAACATATAATGGAAGCAGGCCATAAGATTGATCTTAACGTGGCTTTTGTGGTGTTGTATAAAAGTGTAAAAGGGCGTACACTAAGGTTTATTGAAGCCTTAGCCATACGAAAATTCAAACCTCCTTTGAGTATCCAAAAACAGGTTGTTGTCACCTTGAACCTACCCTGGTAATATTAGCTTATTATCCAGGGTGATGAGGCTTCAAAGTGTGCTCACATTATTGTTATTACTACTTTTCTTACTATCCTTGTCTCCTCTTACCCTCCATTTCTAGTCTAGTTGACCTTTTATTTTTATATACAAATGTCCTTAACAAGTATATATGTGATCAGATTGTTTGAAATATATTGCAGATATATCACATAGTTCTGACAATCTTCATCTTCTTATTACATTATCTCAATTTTCTCATTGTTTTATATTAGAATGTTAGTTAACTAACATGATATAATTGTTAACCAATTTTTTTTTAATGACTAGATATCATCATGCTATTCTGTACACGTTTGATAAAACATTCACTAAATAATTGATTCTAACTTCAGTCGATTAAACACAATATACAAGAAGAAGCTACGAACAATTAACTTTCAACTTCTTAAACCTCAAAGATTACTACTACATACTAAAGTTTATGCAAATTGACTTATATAAAGTTATGTACTAAACATTATTGAATTGTTTTAAAAACCAATTAAATTATTTAAATATTATCTAGGGTAATTTCATTTAAATGTACATATGCATAAATAAATTCATTTAGTTCAAGTTACAAATATTAAGTTTAACTTCATTCATACTCTGCAAATTAGTTTCCAACTATGAAAAATAAAGTCACATGATATTTCAAGTCATAAAGATTAATAATAATTTTCTAAAGTATACAGTTTTGGATAACAAACTAAGTTTATTTAAGTGAAACTCAAATTGTTCATTAATTTCATACATTCTCTAACTATATTTATATTAAAAGTTAGTACTTGTTTTCAACTTGTACCTCCCTAGCTCTCTCCCTCCTCTCTCTCTCTCTCTCTTTTATATATATATATATATATATCGATTTTTAATTTGTAAATCGTTTTTTTTGCCTAACATGATTAGATATAACAAAGATGTAAATACTCTAAATATGTTTATATATTGGTGTATGATGCCACTTTATAGATTTAAATGTCCACTGAATGTATTCATGTTAATTTGTATGTGTATACATGAAGTACATATATTTATAGTTTATTCAATGTGTCATCGAATAACTAATTGTACATGTATTTTAGAATACATAAACTTAATTATTTTACATGGATAGAATACATATAAGTACAAATATGATATCTGTTTACATTTAAGTATGTAGTTAAAATGAACAAATTAGCCTTATTATTCGATTGATAAAGAATGTTTTTGTTTCTTTTTTCTATTTAGAAATAGATAATAAGAAAAATCTTAACATTGATGATCGTGATAATGTTTAGTTAATTGTAATGGCTCAACAATTATCCAGGTGATGACGATGACAATAGTGATGGTGGTGATGTCTAATTTATTTACTAATGGTTATTATAGAAATACCTCTGAGAAAAGGGAAAAGATAGAAAGAGAAACAGATCTTCCAGGTGTCTTGTAAAAGTTTTATTATAAAGATTCGATCTTAAAATTATTCCGTTAAGCTTTAATATTGCACGTGCGTATTTATAGTTAATTCGTGAATAGGGGTAATAGGGATAATAACTAAAAATTAGCTTTAAAAAAAAGAAGTATAATGTTGATTTGGTCAATTCTAATTTGTTCGATTCATGAATACATTTCCATCAATGTTACCCCCCTCCCTCAAATGTACGCATAAATATAGTCATTTCACTTTCTGTCATCTTTTTATTCACTTCTCTCTCTCACACACACACACACACTCCCTCAATATAAAAGTTCATCTAAAAAACTATTTTCTGACTAAGGAGATTATTTATTCAGAGCTACTTTGTCAAAAAAAGAATCAGTAATTATGTTGATTTGTCCATACATACCTATTTATACTTGTACTAATATGTAGTTATATGCATATATTAATACAACACATCAAAACATTGTAGTAGGATAGTAAATTAATAGTAAACTTGATCCAATACATAAAATCTTGAACATTAAAGAATAATATAAATATATCAACAATTATACATGAAGAATTTACAACACTAACATTTTGAGACACAAGACATAATTCAAAAACTTAACTAATATATAAAAATTTATTCGAAATATTTTAAAGATATAAGAATCAAACAAATCATCATCATATCTTCTATACCATTTCCTAGTCATTATCTTTTCCAGTTTACTGAAATAAACTGACATCTAATCAGATAAATTAATGTTTAGCATTATTTTTTGTCTATCTCTCTAAAACAAAAAATAAACCTTTTTTGAATACAATAACAGGAACTTGACAGTAACAAATAGTTCTGAAACTATACTAGAAAAGTTAAAATAGACACGAGTCATTCACCATGTAGAGTTAATGAGAATAGGCATTACTATTTTTATTATTTATTTGTTGTTAATATTAATAATGTGGATAATTTTATTTTTGTGAGAACTTTCTGTTTTTTTCTACTTTTACGTTTGTTTATTGAATGAATAAAATGAATTCTGACTATCGAAATGTAATAATAATAATAATAACAATAATAATAATAGTTATTAATGTCATCAACGGTAATTTTGATAAAACCATGTTGTTAAACTTATAGACACTTAAAAATCCTTTAACTTATATCATTGGCGTTTTTATTTCAATAACAAGATAAAATTAATAAGTTTGAGAAAATATCAGTACCATTATGAACTGACAGTGAAGAATAGGGAAAACGAAACATTGAATAACTGGGTTTTTTTCCACATTTTGGTGATACTTTAAAAATACAAGACTATAAGCTTATACACGATTAAATGTGGGATCCTTAAACCTCATAATCATTTCAGTACTACCTAGGTACTAAGCTAGAATTCAAATATTACTTATGAATTCCTATTTCATTCTATGGCCGATGAATGTTACAGTTCATAGCTATCTGGTAGTCTCAGTCTTGAGGTTACCGAAGGTATCATATAGCTTAACTTCTGCTGAAAAAAATGATAAGAAACCCTGTTCAGTGTGCGAAAAAAAACATTCTACAGACAATCTAAGTTTGTTTTTCTGTTTTTTTCTAATAGAAATAAAACGTGGTTTCTGTAGATTGGGTCTATACACTAGCCAACAGTGATTTATACCACAAAAATTTGAGATTTGATGCACTGATCAAGCCGTTGATGGAGTATAATTATCCCTCGACAACTATTTCACCTTTGTCTCAAGTCATCAGGACGAGCCGTTAGCCATTTCTGAAAAAAATTCACTACTTTTTTAAAAGTATGTACTGATCATATTATCTAGAAGGACAATGAAAGCTCCATAACTAAATCATTCGTTACAGAGAATATAACACCTACAAAATATACCAGTTATTACGGGTAAAAAATAGTATATTGCACTTCAGCTGTAATAAAAGTGTGACTGCTTTTACAAATAAGCTGAAACTTAGATGAGATAATGATAACACATAACACTAAGACGGAGATAGTCCCCTGCTTGGAGATGAAAGTTACCAGACCCAATCGCCCATAATGTCTAATTCATCAGTCAGTCAACTTTTAATATCTTAAGACTAGTATAAGAAAACAAGCAACTAACAGAATTATATATATATATATCGTTGCAGCTACCTTGACGTAGTGGTCGTAATGAACCAATCGAGCTATACTGGCTGGAACAATCGTTCCTCAAGGTCCTACCTTGCCAGACAGGTTGGTTGAAGAGCGGTAAGACCAGCAAACCCAAGGTCCGAAGGCGAGGTCGTACTGCTGATTGTACAGAGACGT